AGGGCGGTCGCACGCTCGGCGGCAGAGCTCAACTCCGCCTCCAGGGCGGTCGCACGCTCGGCGGCGGAGCTCAGCTCCGCCTCCAGGGTGGTCGAGCGCTCGGTGGCAGCCAGAAGATCGGCCTCCAGCGACACTGACCCCGAGGTGTCGGAAGCAGCCTCCACACTGGCCTCCAGGGTGCTGATGCGCTCCGCGGCAGTCTTCAGATCTGCCTCCAGGGTGACCACCCGCTCGGATGCAGTACCGAGAGCCGTCTCCAGGGTGGCTGTGCGATCTGTGGCAGTTTGCAGATCGACCTCCAGGGCGGCCGTGCGCTCGGTGGCAAGCTTCACATCGGCGGTCAGGGAGGTGACCTGCTCAGTGGCAGATTGCAGCTCCAGCTCCAGAGAGGCGGTACGCTCGTTGGCCTTCGCCTCGGCCAGCTGCTCCTGGGCATCGGCCACCGCTGTCGCCGCGGAGCTCGCCAATAGAGCCAGCTCCTCCGACAAACGCGTGACCTCCTGCTCGAGTGATGTGCGCAGGCTTTGCTCGGATTCCAGCTGCGTGCGCACCATCACCAGCTCCTCGGTCAGGTGGTTGTGCTTCTCAGCCAAGTCGGCCGCTGCGGCGCCCTCACCATCGCTATTGGCGCCGCTGCTGTCATTGGCGCCTCCGCCCAGAGACAGGCGCTCCAGCTGGGACTCGGCCAATCTGTCCTCCTCCAAGAAGTCCCCATGGTGGTGGTGATGATGATGATGATGCAGCTGGTGATGGTGCATGTCCCCAGCGAGGGTGTCATCGAAGTCAAGGTGGTCCAGCTCCGGCGACGGGCTGTAGGAGTTGGTGCGATTGGCCAGGCCATGGAAAGAATCCACCGACCCCCGGAGGCCAGCCAGGCTGGTGGTGCTGTCAGAGCCGACGACCGGGCCGGGGGTCTGGGCAGCCGGGCGCTTGGTGCCGGTGGAGCTACCGAGGGGAACATGGGCGGAGGGGAGGATGGCCGGTCGAAGGTCAGGTTAGATGCGTGGTCAAGTCACCCCCGATGATCGAGCCCCCCCCCCTTGGCAGGGTCACGCACAGCTTGGTAAGCTCGTCCAGGGCAAAGAAGAAGTCGGCATCCGGGGCCGGGGACCCAGCATGAGCAGTTCGCAGGTCGAAGAGAAGATCGAAGGAAGCGAAGCAGTCCAGCAATCCAAGGATGTTGGTCATCTCCTCGGAAAAGACAGCAGCCCAAGGCTCGTACGAGGCACTATGCGCATGCGGGGGGGGGGGGGGGTTATACAGGAGTCCAGTCGAGAGTAAGAAAGGGGCAGGAGGGCAGATGGAGAAAGAGGGCCGGGGAGACAGGGCAACAAGCACACACACACACACACACACACACACACACACACACACACACACTCCCATGCTGAGGCTGACATACCGGAGGAAACCCTCATGCGTCAGGAGAAAACGCAGGAACTGGCCGAGGGACTTCTCCATCAGGAGCTTCCGCAGCCAGGCACGCAGGCGGCCGAGCGACGATCCAACATGGTCCATGTGCGCCACAGACTCGATGGATCCCGGCAGCTGCTCCGGCATGCCGTCCAGGGGCCCGGCCGCCGAGCCGAGGGTCGCCAAGGCGTCCCAGAAGGTAAGCAAGCCAGAGGCAGGGCCGGTGGCCCCGGCCGCGGGGGCAGCGGCCCCGGCCGCGGCCATGCGCAGCGACGAGAAGAACGATGGCACCCGGCCATTCGGATCGGCGGCCACGGCCAGCCCCGGACGCAGGCCGTGTGACAGGAGGAGCTCCAGCGACAGGAGCGTGCGCGAGAGGCCGCTCTTCAGTGCGAGGACGCTGGCACCGCCGGAGTTCAGGTCCTCGGCATCCTCGATCAGAATCGGCGACGGCAGGTGGAAGTCCTCCGGCGAGAAGGAGGCCGGCAGCGAGAGGCCCGAGCATACCGACGCGCACTGGAGCGTGGCCCGGGCTGCGCGCTCGGCGAAGGCATGCACCGGCTCGGCCGCCGCACTCTGGTACAGCAGGCCCAGCCAAGAGGCGTCGCTTTTCGGGGGAGAGCTGCCGGTCATGCTGCTGTCGGGGCGGGGGAAGGGGCAGGGAGGGGGGGGGGGGGGGGAGGAGGGCAAGAGGAAAGAAGCGTGGCATTGTTATTGTTATTTTCGTGGGGCGGTCCCCCCCTTTTCCCCGGGGGACCCTTGGGGCCTTGCGCGCCTGGCGAAGTTTGCGTTGGCAGATTCGCCACCGAAGGCAATGTCTCAGGGATTATTTATTCTCAAAAATGCCCCCCTTCAGCGGCTTTTTTCCGTTCCCGAACCCGCCGTGGCTCGGGCGCCGGAATGGGTCAGAGCTCCCGGGTTCCAGTTCTCGGGTGATGCGCGGGAATGCCCTTCCATTCTGAAGTACAAATGCATTTCCTGCCTCCCAGCCGGGGTGGATGAAAAGTCCGCTCGGAAGCGTGTGTGCGTGTGTGCGTGGGGGCGCTGGGCGGGGCCGTGCGGCAAAGTGCCACCATGCGCCCCGCGGCTGGGCCGGTTTCGTGGTCCCCAGGCCGCGGTTGATGCGCGCCGCGCGAAGGCCCGGATCCCTTGGTCATGCTTTTCTCGCCGGCCCGACACGCCGGGGGGGGGGGGGG